ATGGAAGCATGTTGGACGGGATGGTCCTTGTGATCTCTTCCAACTATATGATTCTATGATAATGCCAAAAGGAAATTATTCTTAGAAGGCTAGCAGCCAGGGATGGGAGACCTACGCATCTAGAGTGTAGAAGAGTTTAGTCTGAAGGAGATGGATCAGAATACTTGGTGTTAATATCTGCTCTCTCACATTGTTAATGATTGTGGAAAAGACTTCTAAAGGAAGGGATGAGGAGAAGAGTAAAGACATCCAAGAATGGCCTGCCTTTACTCTCATGTATGTCATCTCATCCTCCTTTTCATCCTTTGAAATCCAAACATAGTGGTCAATATGCAATTAATAATCCCTTAAGCGTTTTTCATCCTACCTTTGGTGTGCAAGCAGTGGATTTGCCAGTTCTAATCACTAATGAATCCATCAGCTTTGAGGGTTTTCCTGTTCACTACTGAACTTTAATGTATGTGACAGCCTGTGGTTCTGTCAGAATGAATTGTCCCTTGTGGAAATTTGGCAGCATGGCAAAGTGACAACTTAATGGAAGTTAAAACACTCTAATGGCAGATTCTGGAGAAAGTAGAGGGAAAGTCATCCACAGCACAAGCCCTAGCCTTTGATAATGTCTCTTTGCATTGCCAGCTCCAGGTGAGATGATACAGCTTTCTGGAAGTCATGTTTAGAGGTATTTATTAAGCAGAATACAATACAATAGATAGTAGACTTGACCAGTATGATTTTGGAAACAGAGGTTGCCCATAGCCCTATGATCAGGTCACTGCATATTAAAACACGAAAAAATTATCACTATGTCTTTCCTCAGCTATAAACTGACAAGTTACCTTTGAATGAGAAGATGAGCAAAGGCTGTACAGACATAGAAAAAGTCCATCAAGAATTGTAGAAATTGACCTACTGAACAATTGTCAGGGATTAGCATCTATGATACCTCCATTTTCCCACCAATAAAAGCATCCTTATTGGCTTTAAAATTGAGGAGTTCTGACTCACCAGGTGTGATATTCCAGTATCTGACCAAGAGGGGTCTATTTTCTGGATACAGAAGAAAGGAATCTACTGTTAATATGTCGTAATTGCCTCTGAATTTTACATTTCTATTATTTGCTAGCAAGTCAACTTCAGTTAATAGTGACCCAACAGCGTTTGCCAATTCAAGACTGCGGCTTCCTTGACCAAGGAATCTTGCTGAAGGTGAGATGTTTTTGCAAACTGATTTCTTCTGAAATTTCTGAAACAACAGATTCTGAGGAAAGAAAAGAATTTCTGATATCTCAGAGAAGAAGAGTCTACCTTTCACTACTACCTGGAACCTTAAGTAAGTAACTAAGGGGGGTTGCAGACTTCCAGAAATAGTGCAAATTGAGCCCACCTTTAGGGTTAGGGTTAATGCTAGGGAATCATGGGAATTGTTGTTTTTTTCTGAGACATTGAGCCTTCTCTGTTAGAGATCTCTGATGCCACAATAAAATACAGTTCCCATGATTCCCTAACCCTAACCCTAACCCTAACCCTAAAAGTGGACTCAAATTGCACTATTTCTGGCAGTCTGCAACCCCCCTAAGAGTCCAGGGCAGCATGTTACTGTTGCAGGTCACTGTCATCACTACCACATCTGCTTGTACAGAGAGGTCTTGGATAATTCTCTGCACAAGTGGCAAAAATGTCAAGCTGTTTGCAGAATAGTCCAAGCAAATAGCCTTCCCCTTGCTTTCATTGCCAATGCTATTTCAGACTTTTCTCTCCTGGAAGTGTTCAACAGCAGGACTGATTAACTAGCAAGGCTAGAGCAAAGGATTTGAGGTTTTAATATGGACCAGTGCAAACCTTGCCCCAGTTATTAGGGGGTGACCTTTTCTGGCTAAGCTTAATAAAGTGTTGTACACTGGGGACTTCTGGAGATCCTTATTAATCTCCAGATTGAGTCAAGACCAGGCTGGGTGCATGGAAGGCTGCAAAACCCAGCACTGATATCTGCCTCCCCAAATGTATCTATAGAATATTTCCTTTGGAAGGGAACATCTCAAAAAAGAATTACTCAGACTATGGCTAGTCAGAAAAAGGAAGTTATTTTAGAGCTTTCAGACAATCAAGAAGGTGTCCAGGAAGCCAAACAGGGCCTGATTTATATATAGGGTCTGTTTTTGCTTCCCCAGCTAACAAAGCATTCAATTTCCTGGTCCAACTTTTTTCTTCCTTCTGAGCTGAAGTGATACTATTAAGAAGAAGAGGGCTGATTAATTACTACCTTCCTTTCTGCTGAACATAACTAAGGAGTCCATCATTGCTTTCCAGGAGATTTTTCTTGTACCTGTAAAGCTACCGGATAATTCACTGTATTGACCAATTTTACCTTGTCTCCCAAAGACGAATGCTGCCATTGTTAATGATGTTTCATTTTATTGTGTTTTTTTTAAGAACAACAAATATACAGCCATGATCCAGGAAGAATTTAATGTTACTGAGTCCCAAATGGTTTTCACCAAATAGTTAAATTGGAAGTTAACGTAATCCATAGGATTTCAAATTGCTGAATTTTCACTAAGCCATGTCATGAGTTTGGATTTGAACTGCTGTAATCCTCTCACTTTAAGAATGGTGGATGTACTGGTTAATTCTTATTACTGATTGTGCTGAGTAATAAGGCTTATAATGTCTGCTATTATTATTATTATTATTATTATTATTATTATTATTGCCTTCCTGCCCTTTTCTCAGTTGAGAACTGATGACAGCTTACAGCAGTTAAAACAAATATAACAAAAACACACTCAAAGCCTGCAAAAGTTTTTGCATTTGTGAAATGTTGGAGAACATTTGATTGATTGATGGAATTATTGATTATAATATGTTATTTTTAAAAAAATATTATTGGTAAAAGTGATCCTACTCTTATTCTGACTTTAGTTTAATTAATGCATTGGGGCTTTTTGCTAAGCTCTCTTCTGCAAGAGCCAATAGGCTACATTTGGGAAATGAATGGATCTTCTAAGATTAATTGTGCGATAGTCTGGAAAGTGTTTTGATTGCCCTGTTGAGACACACTTTCTCCCTTCTTTGTTCTCAGTGATTTCCCCTCCGAATGCATCTCTCCAAAGTTTAAAAAATGCTTTATTATCACTGTTCTGCTTTTGACAATTGAAGGCTATTAATCACAGTAGCAGCCTGATTCATATGAAAATTGATCTTAATCTGCTCATCCGGCCTGTTAGGATTCTGGTTAATTACTGCCGATTTCAATATTAATTAAAGAAAATTGTCTTTGCTAAAATCTGGGGCTGTTGTTTTAAAAAAAATCTGTCATAATATTTTTAATATGAGGTTTTGAGCTTGACTTTTTGGTCATTTTGTAAGGAAAGGAAGTGGGGGAAAGCATCCAGAATCCCCCCCCTCACCAAATTTTGCCCTGGAGGTTGAGATTCTGCCTTTATCAGATCTGTTTAATAGAGTACAACATGAGATAGCAGAATCTGTGGTCTTCTGAAGATGTAGTTCTTGCAATTCTTTTTTTTAAAAAAAAATATTATTATTTAGAATTATGCAACTTTGTTTTATTTTCCAAATAAAAATATGTTGTATGCATACCTTTCCAACTTATGGAGACCCTAAGGTGAACCTATAATGGGGTTTTCTTGGCATGTTTCTTAAGAGAGGGCTTGTCATTGCCATCCTCTGGGGCTGAGAGAGTATGACTTGCCCTAGGTCACCCAGTGGGTTTCATGGGTGAACTGGAAATTGAACCTTAGTCCCTGAGTTATAGTCCAACACTCTAACCACTACACCATTCCAGCTCACCTATCCTTCTTAACACCCCTTTTTGTGTGTGTGTGTGAACAAACAGAATATATTTCATGATCTAGTATCTTCCCTTGTCGTCCTGGTATCTGCCCATAGTTAGAGTAAAACTTGGCATCCTTGATGTAAAACAAACTCTGGAACAAACTCTGATCTGGAACAAACTCACAAAAACCATAGAGGAAGAACAAGCATCTTGCATTGTAATTGCAAGACATTGTACAAGAGAGGGGTACAGAGGGGTGTTTTGCGATGGTGTGATATGTGTTTCATTTAAACAGAGAGGAACATTCCTTCCCACTCTCCTGTCATTTTAGCGTGGATTGAGAGGAGATGCCTGCCTCATGGTTTCTTTCCATGTTTCAAAGACAGCACAGCAATTGTTCTCTGGCAAGATTCCTCATCTGGCAGACAATCTGGTACTATCCCTGTCTGCTCCAGAGGTTCCCAGGTGCATTTTGAGCATTTTGAGCCCGTTGCCTGTACAATGCTACATTTTGGCTTCTGGCCCATCTGTTGTAGTAATTACTGTCATGTAAGCTGATTTAATTTCTCAAAAAAAAAAAAAACCAAAAAAAAAAAAAAACCAGAAACAAAACCTGGAAACCACATTGTTGTTGAATATCCAGCTGGAGTCACCTTGTTGGCTGAATATATTTGTTTGCTTGTTCTTCAGCTAGGGATGGAAAGCATTTTCCATCAACAGGAAAAAGGATTGCAGTTATGGGTGACTTCAATTGCCCTCCGATAGACCTAGGGAGTGCATAATCCAGCTATGACAAAGGACCCAGATTTCTAGCTATGCTAAACAGTTCTGATCATTGAAGCAACCAAAGTGGAAATGATCCTGGACTTAAACCTCAGTTCCTAGTTCAGGATAGGAAGTCCATTCCATCATGTGAATTTCAAGTCCAAGTGAAGTTACATCTAGGTTGGAGGCATGATGTCGGCATGTTGTATGCTAAAAGAAGCTATTTTAATGCTTAATAGTGGTTGGGTTTGTTGGATGAAAAGTCGTTGTTGTTGTTGTTGTTGTTGTTGTGTGCCTTCAAATCATTTCCAACTTATAGTGACCCTAAAGCAAGGCTATCAGGGGATTTTCCTGGCAAGCTTTCTTCAGAGGAGGTTTGCCATTGCCTTCACCTGAGGCTGAGAGGATGTGCCTTGCCTAAGGTCACTCACTGGGTTTCATGGCTCAGTGAGGAATTGAACCCTGGTCTTTGGAGTCATAGACCAACACTCAAACCACTACATTACACTGACTCTTATTAAATAAGACTAAATAATGAAGTCTATGCTGTCCTAATGTTTTCCATGCCACCACATTCATCTGTAGGATGTCACATATGGGTTGGGTGGAAATTCTTTGTAAATAGAGGTGTGAATTGTAACTCTTGAAATCTAGATTGGAGTTCCTCACTACGCCATGACTCAGTTCCACACAGGATCATGGAGCAATTTTGGGTAAAAGTACAAAGAATAGAATCATAGGACTTGTCTACATTGGACAGAACAGTCCAAGGTGTATCCAGATATTCTATACTCAGGGCTGCGCTGGATTTTCCCATTACCTCTGCACTCTACTGCAACACTGGACAGTTGTCTACACATGTCCCTACAATGGTCCCCCAGTGCCATTGCCTTTGCAAGTTGCTCTCATACCACAACAAACTACAGTTCTCAGAATTTCATAGCATTGAGCCATGGCAGTTAAAGTGGTGTCAAACTGGCTTGTTTCTGCAGTGCGGATACAGCCTATGAAGCACAAAATTTTAGAAGCAGTACATTCTCTTATCTGAAAATTAACTAATAACTCAATGCTGTCACAAGGGAAACCAAAGGGAACCATCATGGCAAAATAACGGTTTTGATGTATCCTTGGAACCTTAAATGTGTGAAATCACACTTTTTAAAAACTGGGCAAGGGGCTGTATTCTCTTCAGATCCATGGCAGTGATTGCAAAAGCAGAAAGCGCCTTTCTCCTTCAGGGGAATGAAAGCACAAGCAATGCATTGATGAGCCGAAAATGCTATCAACATGCTAACCCATTGACAAAACCCAGAGGCAACTGAAAGGGAGCCAACACTAGGTCCATGGCATGTGCCAATGCGCCAGATGCCAGGCCCTCAAAAATAACTTTTACAGCTTGGCATCTGGGCCTTGCATTTGTTGTCCAGAGTGGAAGGAAAAACAGGGCAACCGGCAAGATCCCAGAGAAGCAGCAGATCATGTTTGCAATAGTGCAGCTGCCTTCCCAATAGAGCTGGCTTTGTGTTTAAGTCCTCCATTGCACGCCAGCGTGATTTTGTTCACAAAATGGGCTTTTTGTCACTAAGTATGCCACTTGTAAATGGAAGGCAAAGAGATAATCTGCTTGAAGTCCACTGATCTTTTCAAAGAAATCTGCAAACTGGGATAAGACCACTGATAGAATGCATTATCTTTCTCTGAGGTGTGTGCATGTGTATAAAGCCCATTCTGTACTAAACGCCATAAACAGCCCATACTCCAGTGGCCTGCCTCCCCCTGGTTTACTATTTTAATTTCCAACAATTCTTTTGCAAATAGAGATCTGAACAATCTCAAAATCTGTCTCATTTCTCCAAATCCTTCCACCTTGACTGCACAACCTTGCCTGGCATCATGTTGATGTTTTACACACACGTGAATTCCCTTACTCATGTGGTTATACTTTTGGGGGCATGGTGTAATGCCCCTTTTCAGTTCATAAGTGGCATTCCACAAGTGTAGTTGTGGTATGTGCAGCTGCACATTCTTGAATGATGCATAACTGCTAACCAGTTTCTTTGAAGGGGACTTTCTTTCCCTTTTAACTCTAGGATAAATGAGAAGACCAAGCCCAATGAATCAAGGATCCAACTTTATTTAGGGAAAAAAATGCATTTCTGCCTCATACATTTGAAAGACCAGAATCCAAGGAGAATGGGAGTCCTGATCCCTTACATCCTAACCTGTATTGTATATACATAATACCATAATAGAATCAATCATAGATCCCTACAGTTAGAAGAGATCCTAAAGCCCATCCAGTCCAACCCCATTCTGCCATAAAGAAACACACAAAGCACTCCCAACAGATGGCCATCCAGCATCTGTTTAAAAACCTCCAAAGAAGGAGATTCCTTCAAGGCAACCTATTTCACTGTCAAATAACTCTTACTGTCAGGAAGTTCTTCCTAATGTTGAGCTGGAATCTCTTTTCCTATAGTTTGCATCTATTGCTCTAGGTCCTATTCCTTGGAGATGCAGAAAACAAGCTTGCTCCATCCTCCATGTGACACCACTTCACAATTATACAATTATTATGCATTCTTGCCTGCAAGGAGAAAATGGAGAAAGATTTGAACCTGTAGTTGAATGATCAGGAATAAATGTTCCATGTTATAATTCCATATCCCATGTTCCACATGAGTTGATCTTCTGGGACCTACCAACCAGCCCAGGTTAAATTCTGTCATCAGTTTGTCCATTGTGAGTGTGCAGGATAAATGTATATATAGGGTTTTTTTAAAAAAAAAATGTACACATTTTCACTATTTTCTGTGAGGCAAAGAGAAACAGGACTCCCAGTGAGAGTATAAGGAGCCCTGTGAGAACCTGACTGACAGATTTGAACATCTCTTCTATTAAAAGGGCATCTTTTGCATTGGCTCCATTAACCATTGTTGATGTGATTTCTAAACAAAGTCCAAGCATCTGCTACAGGGAAAAGGGGAGAAAGAAAATGCTTGTTGTGGATATGTTTTGAAGAAAGGCTTGTGCTAAATATATATTCCCACCATCTTTTATTTTATTTTCAGGAATTTTATCAGTGTACAAATATTTCCTGCACAATACTTTGCTGGAATGCCCATCACTATTGTTATTTGATAATAACCTGCCCGTTGCTATTGATTCCCCAAGGCTAATGCTTTCTTCTCCTTCTAAGAGCAGATGGTTCCTGACAAACCCTTGTGACTGAAATTAAATATTTCACAGTCAGTCAAACTGGGGCGTGTGATGGCATCACCGAGGGCAGGTGAAGCCAAGTAAGCATCAGAGTGGGGTAATGCAAGTGAATGAGAGATCTATAGTCGGGAAATCTTGGAATACCATAAAAATAGGAAGAATTGTAACACTTCCCCCTTACACTTAATAGTAAACAATGTCAGTCCAGTATCACAGGGGATGGGTGGACATGTCCTTAATTTCTCTTCTTTTGGCTTCAGATATGGAATTACTGATCTGTTGAGTGTTTTGTCTGCCAAGGTGCAGGATAACATCTAATTAAAATTATCTATGAATAACAGAATCTTAGACATGGAAGGAACCACAAAGACCATCTAGTTCAATCCACAGTATATACTTCTGTTGCCATTGTGTGCCTTCAAGTCATTTCTGACTTATGGTGACCCTAAGGCGACTCTTTTCAAGGGGTTTTCTTGACAAGATTCACTGCTATCCTCTGCAGCTGAGAGAATGTGACTTGCACAATGGGTTTCATGGCCAAGCTGACAATCAAACCCTGGTCTACAGAGTCATAGTCCAACACTTAAACCACTAAACCACACTGGCTCAAGGGAACATGCCAGAAGTGGGATGCTTCTAGTTGTATCTATTTTAACTGTTAACATCTATACTTCTACTTGTATCTATTTTAACTGTTATAAGATAGAAGCCTTGAGTCCCTGGGCTATGGAAAAAGGATGATGATGAAGATGATTATGATGATGATGATGATAGCGGCAACAACCAAACAACTTACTGTTATCTATTAGGCATAAGATTCACAGTCTACCAGGATATCCAACTGGAGTTTTTAACCACCAATAAATTGCATTTATCCAAGAATTATAAACCAATAAAGTATTGTTGAGTGATCTGACATGTTCCAAGTGTGTCATTTTTTTGGAACTATGCTATTGTGATCCTATTTATGGAGATTTAATTCAGAGGTTTTGCCAGTCCATTTGGGATTGGAATATCCTTCTCCTTTCTGTGGGTTACTTATTTCCTCTTAAAATTACCCATTGCAATTCTATAATGAATATTAGAATTAGGACCATACTGACTGGGATATCACCATGCCATATTGATAGCACAAATAATGTTGTGCCCATAGTCACTTAGGTCAAGACTATGTGCAAGAGTAAATGTCCAGTACAGTGACCAATTTTGCAAATTGTTGCACTGTTGGTAACACAGCCAATAGTCAAAATGGTGGTGCAGTCATTAACACAACAGACAACATCCCTGTCAGGCAAAAGAACAAGTGTACTACTTGTGCAATTGGAAAAAGCAACTGTACTATTTTGCTCTCCTAATACCATGTTGGATTTAGCCCCAAAAATGCTGAGGAATTTCTAAAATGATGGAAGATTTAATAATAAGACAATGGCAGGTTTAGTGCCAAGGGGTGGGGTACAAACGGATCATCGCCGAGTGTGAATCCACAGTGCTTAAGTAGCAATAATACAGAGCATCAATTATCCACAGTTTTTGGAAACCAAACTGCTCTCCGGATGGTTATTTATTCAAAACACTTAGCAGTAGGTTCACACTTGTACTACAGTTCAGAATACTGTTTTCATCAGACTCATTAGCAAAAAATTCAGCATCTCTGTTCCACAAATAAGGGAACTTATTAAATGAATTAGAAAACTGGATTTTTGTCACTGATGTTGGGAAATTTTTAAAAAGACAGAGGGTGATTTGGGGATTGAATTTTGACTCATGCTCTCAAAGTGTGTCATGCGGATGCCAAGAACAGTTCATCTAGCTGGGTACTGTAATCTGACAGATATAGGATTTTATATACCATAATAATGTTTATTTAGATCTATTTAATGTCCCCCTTTTCTATGTTTTTAAGAACTTTAACTTATTGTATTCTGCCCTTCTCATGCCAGTCTATGAATGTAATAAAGATCTTTGAACCTTTGAACCAAGAACAGTTGGTAGTGCTTGGGGATTTGCAGTTCACTGAGCAAATTAAGGATTCAAATACATAATTACAGTTGTTTAATTAAAACATTTGGTTCCTTCTACCTCTCCAAAGTATTTAATACCAAATATTTTAAAGGGGGTTACATTTTCCTAGGCAACTAGCTTTCTCAAAAGATTCTTGGGTCAACGTACTTTTAGGGATCAGGCCAACCTGGCAACTGTTGGAGGACTTTCTTGTCCTTGATAAAAATTCCCTAAAGACCTGGGCAATATCAAAAGTTTGATTCTCTGGATTAGAGTCAACGTTGGTAGAAATAAGTCAGGGCCATGTGACACGGGTACAAGATCTGGTTCATTGATATTTCAGAGTATGGAGCCATAGTTTGCTGACTTCAGAGTGGAAAGAAATGACAATGGACTCAATATAACTGATGCCAGTATAATTTTGCTACCAAGATTAGATGTATACAAATATGTACCTTGCCATAGGAATTAATGGATCTGCATGTCTTACAAAGAGTTTCCAAGAAATGTAAAACCATAGTCATCGTTGTTTGCCAACAAATTGTTTCTGACTTCTGGGGAGCCTAAGGTGAGCCTATAATAGAGTTTTCTGAGGCTGAGAGTGTGTGGCTTCCCCAAAGTCACCAAGTAGTTTTCCATGGCAGGGATTCGAACCCTGGCCTCCAGAATCATAGCTCCACACTCAAACCATTATGCCATACTGGCTCCTATAGAACTACCATTCCCAGAATTCCATAGCATTGAGCCATGGTGGTTAAAATGGTGTCAAAGTGGATTATGTCTGCAGTGCGGATGCAGCCTTGGTCTCTAACATGTGTTTCTGCACTGAATTGTGTGTGTGCATATGGGAAGAGACTTCAATTTATGTTTGTTTATGATCTCAAAAGCCTTTCCTCACTCCTTTTCAGATGTTTTGAAACAGCCCTCAGATTTTTTAAACTGCTGTGAGAATAAAATAATAATTCATTTATTCACAATGACACTCCTGCTGTTTCTCTTGTCTAGTCTCTGTGATGTCTCAGTGTGTTCATTGCGTAGAATTTAGACTTCATCCTGCTTTCCCCGAATTAAGGAAAAGGAACAATTTATCTAAATTCAGTTTCTATTGTCCTTTAATTCCCTCTGTGTGTTTGTGATTAACTCTCATACTACCCTGCTATTACCTTCCTATTCATCAGTCTATCCCTTTCCTTTATGTACAAGTAGGGGTGCATCTACACTGTAGAAATAATGCTGTTTGACACCATTTTAATTGCCATGGTGCCATCCTAGAGAATCCCGGGATTTGTAGTTTTATGAGGCACCAGCCCTCTTTGGCAGAGAAGGATAAAGACCTTGTAGAACTACAAATCCTAAGATTCCATGGAGTTACAGTACTTAGAGTGGTGTCAAACTGCATTATCATTTCAGTACCATTTTAACTGTCACTGCCTCTCCTCTTACCATCATTTGTTGCTGCTGTTTTTCTTGTTTTTAGTTTCCCAGGCCTTTCTCCTGTTATTCTTTCCTTGGTCTTTCCAGTTTAACAAATTTCACTGTGCTATTTCCTGAACAGAAATCTAAGTTTCATTCCCTGAATTGTAATGTACGCTTTCCCTCTTGCATTGTCTCTTGCGGTGTGATTTTGTACAGACTTCCACCTTGTGTCATCTTTCTATATGCCTTCCTCTCTTTGGTGGAGATTAATCTAAATTTACACTGTTTACATTAAGACAATTGACTATTTTCTACTTCTCTTCCCCCAGATAAATTTGAGGATTTTTCCTTTTCAAATTCTATTCCTATTTGCTGTCTCTCATTCCCCTTCACTTGTGTGTTTCATGGTTAATAATAATAATAATAATAATAATAATAATAATAATAATAATAATAATAAATTTTATTTATAGCCCGCCCCTCTGCGGAGCAATCGGGGCGGGTTACATCAAGTAAAATACAGGAAATACAGAGGTTAAAACAATTCACATACCCATCCAACCCTCCCACCCCTTAAAACAATATTAAACTGATTATTGATTAAAACAACATGCTCCGAAATATAACACAATAAATAATGACATAACAATACAACAATATGGTTCTTCTACATATACTGTTACATATATTTATTATACATTACTATACATCAGTGTTGTCTCTCAAGTTGACATATCCAGGGGTAACTATGTTGGTCACATAGCAAAGTACAATGGCATCCAAAATCCACAAAACAGGGATACCTTTATTGGACCAACCCAAATGCTAATGTTGCAAGCTTTCAAAGATCGAACGGCTTCTTCATAGGGCAAAAGATGTTAAAAATCATACAGGAGAAAGAAAAAAAGTGGCCATGTTAGTCCTAGGCCTGCATTTTGTCAAGATGTTGTGGTTGTTGTCCTCAGTTCAGATGGTCTGGAAGGGTATTTATGCAGGCAGGCATGGCTCATGTTGGTCACCACCTTCTTCTTCTCCTATGCCACTTTCTCCATCAACAGATCCAACCACTTCATGGATTATGCCATGCATGATTTGATGTCCATGATGACTTAACTTGGCATCTGTTGTTTAACCCCTGAATAATAAGCCCATTTATTCACTCTTGTTGCTTGGTTGTGTTGATCACCTGGCAAAAGGACAGCGCTTGGGCTATTTTGATGGCCTCCAGAAACATCTCCTGGGCCACCACTAGAATCTGTGTCCAAGATGAATGTCATGGTTCATACATATTTTCCTAATCAAAGAGCCTGTGTGTGTTTGCTTTGTGTTTAACATAGTGGAGGAGCATATCTTGTTACTGTGTGCCTTCAAGTAATTCTCTCTGTGTCTTATACACACACACACACACACACACAC